GCAATATCAATAATGACAACACGGCAAGTAATTATGACAGAAAGAGATGGACCTGCTTTTTCCATCCCATGGCTGTGTCCATTGATAATCTGGAAGGTGTGATCGATAGCGATAAACAAATTTCGGCAAAGATACAAATAGCCAATAAGAAGTTCCCAGAACAGGAAATAGCAAGTATTAGCGAGTTTATGTATTTTTTGAGAGGAGCAGTCAATGTAATGAGCCCATATTATGATGGTTTCAGCATTGACATTTACCGTTATGCTAACGATAAATTCATTGGGGGGATTAACTTTGATAAACAGCCTGATATGAATTTTACTGGAAGTAATACGAAAATGGGATCTTTGATCACTTTTAAAATCAAAGGAGCCAACGCAAATTTCGCATTAGGAATTGAGAGAGTTTTTGTGACTGCTGTGAGTGAGCAAATATTCGAACTTTCCGAAAGTGCATCAACGGTTTTAGACTAAGAAGAGATATCATTATTGATTCAATTAAAATCTAAATTACTTTAATAATGGCTTCAGTAAATAATTTAACGGCAGTTTATGCAGATAGATTTTATTTGTCATCTTCAACGGGTGTAAGTGAAATATCAGATACATATGCTACAAAAACCGAATTTGGAGACATCAACAATGCAAACTCTTCAAATATAACAGCCAACGCTGACGCTATTTCAGTCTTGAATACAAAGCAACTACAAAGCTTTCATGACATCAGTTCTATCTCTCATGTTTTGGCGACTACATATCAAACTAATTTGCAAATATCCAGTAGCTACTACACCAAAGTAGAAATAGATACTACATTTTCTAATTATTGAACATCAACACAGATTGACACAAATTTATCTACAAACTTCCAAACCAACACGCAACTGGCAACCAATTATTATGATAAGGGCGAGGTAGATACATTAATAGCAGGGGCTGGATCGGGATACACAACTACTGAGGTTGATAATCTACTAGACTTAAGAGTTCCCAAATCAGACTTCACGAATAGATTTAGTGCCAATCCTATTATTGACTGTTCCGCCCCTACAGTGATACATAGCGGTTTAACATTAAACAACTCAACTATTAATATTTCCCCAGTAGCAGGATTATCATTTAGCAATCAGACAGGGGGAGGTGATAAAGTATTAGCAGAGTTTAAAAACGCAACGAGTTATATAACTTTAAAGGGTGACAAAATATTTTGTAACAATACACCAGACAACGCAATAAAACAATTGGATTTATCAAATAATAATGCAGGGTATAAAATGAGTGGTAAAATAGCAGTGCGGACAGGCGGTTTAGTTGTAGAAAATACAGCAGATGCTAATTTATCATTTACAGTTAGAAATACTGATAATTATATTGCTTTTGATAATGAAAATATTGATTGTTATAATTCCGTCGGCGATACTGGAAGAATATTAAATTTAAATAATAATGCTGACCAGTATGTTAAAACGCATTCATTATTAGTAGACATATTGGCAGGAACATTAACAAGCGGTTATGGGTTAGATGTAGCGAATAATGGGGGGAGGGGTCGAGTGTGCGCTC